TACCATGCATTGAATTTACCACACGTTGCTTACCACGTACTGCACCTACCACGCGTTGTATTGACCACGCATTATATTTACCACGCGTTGTATTTACCACGCATTGAATTTACCACACGTTGCTTACCACGTGCTGCACCTACCACGCGTTGTATTGACCACGCATTATATTTACCACGCGTTGTATTTACCACGCATTGAATTTACCACACGTTGCTTACCACGTGCTGCACCTACCACGCGTTGTATTGACCACGCATTATATTTACCACGCGTTGTATTTACCACGCATTGAATTTACCACACGTTGCTTACCACGTGCTGCACCTACCACGCGTTGTATTGACCACGCATTATATTTACCACGCGTTGTATTTACCACGCATTGAATTTACCACACGTTGCTTACCACGTGCTGCACCTACCACGCGTTGTATTGACCACGCATTATATTTACCACGCGTTGTATTTACCACGCATTGAATTTATCACGCGTTGCTTATCACGTGCTGCACCTACCACGCATAGTACTTGCCACGCCTTGTATTTACCACGCGTTACATCCACCACGCATTGATTTCTTACGCGTTGCACTCACCAAGCGTTGAATATACTATACATTGCATTTACCGCGCATAGATAATTCAAAAACTTCACACCCCATTTTTGCAAAGGGAAATCTTATTCAGAATCATGTCTACTCCCCAATTCAGGGACCTAGTAGTTGTGAGGCACATCGTATAATGCAATAATAGACACATACATATGTATGTTATATAAATTTAATTTGTTATAATTACTAATGATGCTTATTAAATGATACTCTTACAAATGATACTTATTAAATTTGTAATATTATTATTGAATTATTAAATTTGTAATATTATATGGAATTATTAAATTTGTTATATCATATTGAATTATTAGAAGCTTAAAATTGTTACATAAAACATATGCATACTAAAAATATCTTACATCAAGAATGCACAAGAATAAATTTTTTTCCACGTACAGTCTACGCAGATTAATTTTTTGACCGACATTACAGAAGTGGAAGAAAAAAAATGTGTCAAGTTAAATCACCGGATTTCTCCAGATTTCCTCGGATCAGGATAAATAATTTTGTAACGTAAAACCCAGAAACGAGAGAACCGCGTCAGATTTTAATGACACGAACAGGAACTATGGCATTTATGAATATAAAAACAGTTGAAATTGAACAGTAAGAGAAAAATAAATTCAAGGAATACCAGTGTTCTGAACCATGTATTTTGAATCATGAATTATTGAATAAGTTTTTATCGAATCATGTTTACACGCGAGTACTTCGAACGGTTTACAACAAAATGAAGTAATACTTCGTTGAGGAAAAAAAACCGGTGTTTTATCGATAATTTTGTCGGTTCTTGTAAATGTATCTAACGAAAGATAAGATCTGTATATTCTGTCTTGTTTAACGCTTTAATGGCCGTCACATATGATGCTATCAAGAGCTATTGGTTAGGTTAGGATAAGTTAGGTTAGGTGATGATTGCTTTAATAAGTATCACACAGACATATATTAAATATGTTGTTGTGGGTTTCATTTTATGTATACGTTCACACGTGTTAAATTATTTCGTGAATTCACATGAAGTTTCTTTAAATTAATTCTGCAAAAATTAATGCGTGGTCCATGGCGACATTTGACTGAGTGCAGCCATTAAAAACTGAAGCGTATCTTGATCGTTGGATTCTGAAAATAACAAGTTTTGATCACGCAAGTTTAATTTACTATTCATGAAACTCGGTATGAAAACATGACATGATATATGAATGAATTTTCAAATTAATGTAGACCTAATTAATTGTGGGAATTAATGAGGAACTCTTGCAAGATTAATAACCGGAAACCACTGATTATTTTCTGCTTGTGAAGTTGTTCGAGCACGTAGATGTAGGTGGAAATAAATGTTGCAGATAAAATTTGTTATAGTTTGTAATATTGCAATGCGTTTGTGAAGATGTTTTTATAAAAATCAAATTGAATGAGTGTGGTAGTAGAAATCTTTTACGGTACAATTTTAGGGGTGGTTTTTCTGAAATTAATACAGTAACATAAATTAAAAAATTAATAATATTTCTGCTATAGTTAAAAATTGTATATTTAATTCAATTTATAAAAAAATAAAATTCGATGAAAATAATAGTTGAAGTTAATATTTGAAATTTAAGAGTAGTTCTTACAAAATTAATGAAGCAATGAAATAAATGAAAAAACAATAATATTTCAAAAACAAGTTTGTTATGAAGATTTAATAATTATAAATATACTATGAAATTCCTTAAAATTGTTAAGAAAATTAAAAATTACAAAACATCCCCTTAAAAAGAAATAAACTTGCCTTCCAAATAAATAAAATTTTAATAAAATTGTCCACACTCCCACAATAAAATTATACAACAAAAAAAGAACAATAAAAACAGAAGAAAAATATTTTTTAAAGTACATGCATATTGAAAAATTGAATTATGAATTTGAAAAGTGCAATTCACTCAAGATGATCAATTAATGAGATTCAAAAATTACTCTCTTGTAATCATTATGCAATAACAATTAGATTATGTGACCGATCATTTTGGCGAATTATACAACTGCAAGATGGTTGATTATGTCAATATTAGTCGACAGTTAAAATGATCTTGCATGTCACTGGAAATTAATTATTCTTCATGTTGCTTCTTTTTAAAGATTTTTCCTGGTTAATGTAATTTCCTAGTCACGGTTCTCGCTAAGGATTAGAATTAGGAATTACCGTTGAATCAATAGATCATGCTATCTGTTTTAATAGGCAATTGATCATTCGCTGCACGTCAAAATAGTTTCAACGTTAATATAGTTTTTGTGCGAGAAGAAGACATAGTTGTTTTATTAATATTCAGGAGGAGATAAATCTTGATGGCCAAATGCTATTTCTTAATTTGGGAATGTGGATGTTGGAGAATTTTGTGTGTGGAATTTTGGGGATTGGGGGAGTTGGGGATTTGGGGATTTGAAGATTGAGAGATTTGGGGCATTTTGGGGATTTGGGGATTTGGGGATTTTGGGGATATGAAGATTGGAAGATTTCGAGGATTATGAGGATTTTGGGGATTTTGGGGATTTTGAGGATTTGAAGGTTGGGAGATTTTGGAGATTTGGGGATTTAGAATTTTAAGATTTAAGGATTTGTGGGTTTGGAGTTTTTGGGGATTTAGGGATTTGGGGATTTGAAGATATGTGGATTTAGACACATGTGGAGTTGGGGATATGTGGATTTGGACACATGTGGAGTTGGGGATATATGGATTTGGGGATATGTGGATTTGAGGGTATGTGGATTTGGACACGTGTGGAATTGGGGATGTGTGGAATTGGGGATATGTGGATTTGGGGATGTGTGGATTTAGATACATGTGGAGTTGGGGATATGCGGATTTGGACACATGTGGAGTTGGGGATATGTGGAGTTGGGGATATGTGGATTTGAGGATATGTGGATTTGGACACGTGTGGAATTGGGGATGTGTGGAGTTGGGGATATGTGGATTTGGGGATGTGTGGATTTAGACACATGTGGAGTTGCTGATATGTGGATTTGGACACATGTGGAGTTGGAGATATGTGAAGTTGGGGATATGTGGATTTGAGGATATGTGGATTTGGGGATATGTGGATTTGGACACGTGTGGAGTTGGAGATGTGTGGATTTGGGGATGTGTGGATTTAGACACATGTGGAGTTGGGGATATGTGGATTTGGACACATGTGGAGTTGGGGATATGTGGATTTAGGGGTGTGTGGTGGTGGTGATATGTGGATGTGGGGATGTGTGGATTTAGGGGTGTGTGGTTGTGGGGATATGTGAATGTGTGGATATGTGGATATTTGGATATGTGAATGTGTGGATGTATAGACATGTAGATATCTGCATGTGTGGATATGTGGATGTGTACATGTATGGATGTGTGAACGTATATATGTGGAAATTTGAAAATGTATAAAACTCGTAACACAACAATTTGAAAATTACACAATATATTTGCAAATATATAAATTTAAAAGCTTCCTGTTTATACAAAATGTTTATACAAAACTTATCATCTAACAATAAAATCAATATTTAAACACCAAATCATCTAACCTAAGTATCATTTAATATAATCATACATTCATATGTTTAACAATTATAAATTGAAAATTGGAAATAAAGAAAGTTGTAATCATTCAGAACACGATATCTTTAAAAACTAAACTATTCACAATTATGACTTCCTCCATTTTCATTCTTCAATTAGTCACACTAATACAATTACATTTACTGTTACTTTTAAAAACATTAAATAATTTAATTTAATAATATACGTGCAATAATTTAAGGCATACATTCAACTAGTAATTCTTAAGATTTTACATACATAACATTTGAAAGAAATACAGTTAATATTTTAACAATAATAATACATACTTAGAAAAATTATTGTATTGTAAATTACAATACTTTGTAATAAACAAGTTTCACTCGTTCAACAAAACTGTATCAAGTTATTATTAATTCTACCGTAATTAACATACTAATTTACTGTAATTCAAATATCGATTATTAAAAAAATTATGATGTATTTCTTTAGTACAATTTTACAATATTTTATAATAAATAATTTGCACACCTCACAAGGTTGCATAAAATTATTAATTTTTTCTGTGATATAATAACTTCATACACTAATTAAAAAATTAATTCTTCAAGATTTTTTAAATGTTACAAATTATTAACTCAATTTCTGTATTAATTTAATGTCACAATTTTTTATAATAATTAATATACACACAGATAACAAGTTATTAATTCTTCAATGATACAATAATTTCACACTCTACTTCAAAAATTAATTCTCAAATAATTTCAAGTTTTCTTAACATCATTTCTTTTTAACGTAATTTCTATATTAATTGCATGTTACAATTTTATATCATTACACATACAAGGTAAAATTTTTCTACACTATCCTTATTAGATACCTCTTTAATTTACTTACTATATTAATTAAACATTACAATATTTTAAAACAAGCATTCACACATTTAACCAAACAATTTTACTTCAAGCACTAAAGAACTGTCCATTTAAAAAATGATAATTTAATTTAATTGAATTTTCTCAGCGATTGAACATTCGTTTCTCTCCGTTAAGTGATTATTCGAATAATTCCGTTTCACGGAAATAAAAATTTCGATCCTTGAATTCAAGGCAAAAGTTGAATGACTTCGACACGCGAGACGCCATTTTGTTCGTTTTAATCGGTGAGCCACGCATCGTATGGTACTTGAGCAAAGATCTTTTCAACAAAGGTCGACATTACTTGGACTAATTTCCTCCTCAGATCCGGTTTCATCTCTTTCAACAACTCCTGGCTGTTTGTGTTAATGAACAGGTTCAACGCGGCGACTGAAATTATTTCACAAGAAAAAATATCATTAAACTTAATCGTCTAATTACACTTTCAAATTATTCTCAAAGGAGACGTTGTTTCAAATGCTACACTTTGCATGAATATTTCAGTAACTTTTTAATTCTTGAGAAAAAAAATGATTTAACTCGAAATTTATATTTTGACGCCAGATTTTTTTGCCTCGAAAATTGCTTGTATGGAATATAAATATTCTTCGCATAAATTATGAACTTGCAGGTGACTTTGAGAATGTTTTAGAAAATTTATTTTGCGATAACTTGATTTTTTTTGGTGTGTCGCTGTCAGATGTGAGATAACAAAATTACTTACGAATTATGGCGTTACTGTCGCGAATGTTCTCAACGCCCATTTTAATATTCTGCACGCTGAAGTCCATTTTCAGTTGTTGCAACCTTAAATAATAGCGACCTTGGTAGGAGAATGGTCTTGCCCTGATGAACACCTTGGCCTTAACACCCTCTGTGAGCAAAAAGAGATTACATTTTTATTGATATACTTATGCGACCTTTATGTTAATGATATACTCGTGTGAGCATTCATGTGTGATTAAAAAAATTGAAAGTGATTTTTTAGAAATACTGATTTAAATATTTGCAAGTATTTTTGAAATTGCAGAGATTATTTTTGGGGTAATTAATTAAAAGTTTGTATTGTTATTAACATTTAATATTCGTGACATTACCTGTTGCTGACATTTTATGTTTGATATATTTAATATTCATGACATTTTATATTTGTGGCATTTTGTATTCGGTAGGTTCAATATATGTGACATTTCAGGTTCAAAATGTTTAATATTCGTGACATTTTATGTTCAAAATATTTAACATGCATGACATTTCATGTTCAAAATATTTAACATGCATGACATTTCATGTTCAAAGTAATATATGTGAGATTTCAAATTTAAAACATTTTGTTCTACAAATTTAATGTATGTAATATATAACACTTGAAATATTTTCAATTTGTCAAGTTTAAAAAAATATTAAAAATATTTTGCACTTTTTGTACTCAATGTTTTAAATTTCACATAAAAAAGATATATAGTATGTAATAAAATAAGAGGTCTAATATTTTTGATGCACAATATATAAAATATTTAATATTCATTATATTTAACATGTTTTATATTTAATATTTTAAAAAATATAACACCTTAATATATCAATAAATAATCCATTTAAAAAAGAATAAAGTTCACTTAAAAATTTAAGGGGTGTCTTCACTTAACCTAACCTCACCTTCACATAACCTAACCTTGCCTTTACCTAACCTAGCCTTATCTTCACCCAACCTAACCCTGCCTTTACCTAACCTTAAAGAGTACCTTAAATTAACCTAACCTATTTTCCATAACAAAATATCCTCCTCCATACTTTTATCATTTAAAATTTCACAAAGAAAAAAATAAATAAAAATTGCAAAAATGCAGCAAATCACATAAATTGCATATGTGTGCTACTTTGACGTAAATTCCATATTTAATTGCGTATGTATTACACATTAACGTGAGTTACAAACATTGCATACGTATTATGGTTTAATGCAGATCACAATAATTACATATATGGTATACTTGTATGTAAACTGCATAAATTACGTATGTGTTATTCTATAATGTAAATAGGGTCAGTTGCATATATGTATGTTATACTTTGACGTAAATTGCATAAATTGCATATGTATTGCACATGAATGTAAATCGTATTAATTACAGACATGTAACACTTTAACGCAGATTGCATAAATTGTGTATATGTTACGCTGTAATGGAAACTGTATAAATTACATGTGTGTGGGACGTAAATTGTACTAATTGCTTGTGTGTCATAATTTTGTGTATGTATAAATTGAATGTGTGTTATGATTTGACGTGTGTATAAATTACATATGTGTTATAAGTGGACGTATGTATAAATTACATATGTGTTATAATTTCGTGTATTATATAAATTTCATATGTTTTATAATTTCACATATGTATAGATTGCATATGTGTTATAATTGGACGTGTGTATAAATTGCATATGTGTTACAATTTCACATATGTGTAAATTGCATATGTGTTATAATTCAACGTGTGTATAAATTGCATATGTGTTATAATTTAACGTGTGCATAAATTGCATATGTGTTATAATTTAACGTGTGTATAAATTGCATATGTATTATAATTTCACATATGTGTAAATTGCATATGTGTTATAATTCAACGTGTATATAAATTACATATGTGTTATAATTCAACCTATGCATAAATTACATATATGTTATAATTTCACATATGTATAAATTGCATATACGTCATAATTAACCCTATATAAAAATTACATATGTGTTGCACCTTCCAAATCATAAAAATTTCACAACTTTCCAATTTCATATCTCAATCAAACCTACAAATTAAAAATGTCAACCCACATATAACCAATTGCAAAAACTATGAAGCTATCTTCACTCCACATATCCAAGCTTCTAACAGACAATGAACTAGTTGTTCTCGAATGGAACTAGGTTACTAGTGGGGAGAAGTACGAATTAATAGGATTCGAAAGGCGTCACAAAGACCGCGTTCCTTGACTGTTAACGGGCAATTATAATTTGAAAGATAGTCGAAGGTTGTAATAGAGTTCGGTGAAATGGCTTGAAGTAAAAGTTGACTTTCACCGCCGACGCAATGCAAATTTGTTTTCAGTTGACTTTTCGAACCTTGTCAAACGACGAAGAAACTGATATTCTTTTCAGATCTTAAAAAGTTCCAATTTTTGTCGCCTGGAAGAGAATGTAATTTCAAGGTTCATCTTTGTGATCCAGTTCAGATCGCACGCTTGTAAGAAACACAGAAGTAGGTATTTACATGTGAATGGTACCATTGACCTCAAATGCATTCGCCTTGCAGAATGCAACCTGTTCGTTGCAGCTGCATTTCTGTGTTTGCTAGGCACATTGTGTTTCAAAGATAATTTTATAAACTTTGGGAACAATTGGTAGAATTTTAGTGTATTTTTAGTATATGTGGAGTTTAGGTAATTTATGTTACATATATAATTAATGCAATTACTTTATTTTTATGATATTTATAATTAGTTTATGATACAACTTTATGTAATTTATGTTATAGGATAATGTATGTATAGGTAATTTATTCTGGTTGTGCTAAGTATGTCATAAGCAATTTATGCAAATTATGTTCTAGAGTCGTTTAGATGCAATTAATCTTAATTTATGTTACAATTTTATGAATTGAACGATTGATCAGTTGAATGATCTAAAGATTGACTGACTGGGAATTTGACGAATTAACCAATTGAAGAATTGAAGAATTGAATGATCTAAAAATTGACTGACTGGGAATTTGACGAATTAGCCAATTGAAGAATTGAAGAATTGAAGAATTGAAGAATTGAAGAATTGAAGAATTGAAGAATTGAAGAATTGAAGAATTGAAGAATTGAAGAATTGAAGAATTGAAGAATTGAAGAATTGAAGAATTGAAGAATTGAAGAATTGAAGAATTGAAGAATTGAAGAATTGAAGAATTGAAGAATTGAAGAATTGAAGAATTGAAGAATTGAAGAATTGAAGAATTGAAGAATTGAAGAATTGAAGAATTGAAGAATTGAAGAATTGAAGAATTGAAGAATTGAAGAATTGAAGAATTGAAGAATTGAAGAATTGAAGAATTGAAGAATTGAAGAATTGAAGAATTGAAGAATTGAAGAATTGAAGAATTGAAGAATTGAAGAATTGAAGAATTGAAGAATTGAAGAATTGAAGAATTGAAGAATTGAAGAATTGAAAGATTGAAAACTTGAATGCTTGAAAAATTGAAAACCTGAAAACTTGAAAACTTGAAAACTTGAATGCTTCAAAAATTGAAAATCTGAAAACTTGAAAACTTGAAAACTTGAAAACTCGATAACTTGAAAACTTGAAAACTTGAAAACTCGATAACTTGATTACTTGAAAACTTGAAAACTTGAAACCTTGAAACTTTGGAAGCTTGATAACTCGAAAACTTAAAAACTTAAAAACTTAAAAACTTAAAAAATTGAAATCTTGAAAACTAGAAACCTTGAAACCTTGAAAACTTGAAAACTCGATAACTTGATAACTTGATAACTTGATAACTTGATAACTTGA